CCTCCAGAGAAAGCTCCCTGACCCTCTGCAGCCTCACTGGGAAGAAGGGAAAGCCACCAGAAAGGCTGCTCCTCCTCTGGCTACAGCTCATTTGACATGGGGAGTAATGAGAATACTTGGTCAGCTACCAGGAGCAGTTTGGCCAGCATCTCTTCTAGAAGTCAGGAAGTCCTCCCTGGTCTCCAGTAGAAGATTCCCAAAAGGAAGGAAGGCTCTATTGCAAAGTTACATGGCAGACTATGTCAATAGGAACAGCCATCATCATCATCATCATCATCATCATCAGGAATATCAATAATAATAATAATAATAATAATAATAATAATAATAACGAAAAAACATGGCTGCGGGTCACAAATGGAACTCTGAAAAAGGAGACAAAGGAGGGCCTGATTCTGGCAGCCCAAGAACAAGCCATTAGAACCAATGCTATCAAAGCCAGAATTGAAAAGTCAATGACAGATCCCAAATGTAGACTCTGTAAGGAAGCAGGAGAAACAATAGATCCCATCCTCAGCTGCTGCAAGAAGATCGCACAGACAGACTACAAGCAGAGGCACAACCCCATTGCTCAGATGATTCATTGGAACTTGTGCCACAAATAACCATCTGGCTGCGACAAAGAACTGGTGGGATCACAGGCCAGAAAAAGTTACAGAAAATGAACATGTCAACTACTCTGGGATTTCCGGATTCAGACCGAATAGCGAGTCTGTGAAAAGTGAACCACAGAGCAGTGAGGGAACACTGTGATGATGATGATGATGATGATGATGATGATGAGGAAGAGGAGGAAAAAGAAGAAGAAGAAGAAGAAGAAGAAGAAGAAGAAGAAGAAGAAGAAGAAGAAGAAGAAGAAGACATCAAGCTACTCTGGGACTTCCGAATTCAGACAGAAAGAGTTTTGGAGCACAATACTCCTGACCTCACAATCGCGTTAAAAAACAAAGTAAGGATTGTCAATGTCACAATCCCAGGTAACAGCAGGGTTGAAGAGAAACAACTTGAAAAGCTGACACGATATGAGGATTTAAAGATCGAACTGCAAAGACTCTGGCACAAGCCAGTCAAGGGGGTCCCAGTGGGGATCGGCACACCGGGTGCAGTGCCTAAAGACATTGGCGTGCACTTAAACACAATAGGTGCTGATAAAATTACCATCTGCCAGCTGCAGAAGGCCACCTTAATGGGATCTGCACACATGATTCACTGATACATCACACAGTCCTAGACACCTGGGAAGTGCCGACGTGTGATCCAATTCAACAGCCAGCAGGTTGATCTTGTTTGCTATGGACTCATCTTGTGGTGTTTCAAATAACAACAACAACAACAACAATGTTTATATTCCACTCTATCTCCCCAAAAGGGCCATCCCTTGAAGTCCCCTGAGGTCTACTGTAGCCCCTTTCTGCCATGTAGGGATCCACAATCCAAGCCCTCCCGACGCGTAGCCATCCAGCCAGCCTTGCGCTTCCCTGTTTTGTCGCTGAATTGCACTGGCAACTCCTGGCTTGAAAAAAGTCCATGTGAATGGGATCCAGGCCGCAAGCTGAACATGAGTCAACAGCGTGATGCAGAAGCTTTAAAAGCCAATGAAATTCTAGGCTGCCTGCAAAGGATAGTGTCTAAATTAGTCCCACTCTGTTCTCCTTTGGTCACTTGCAATAAACCAGTCCTGATCACCACAAGCAAAGAAAGACAAGATGGAAGGTATCCAGAAAAAGGCAAGTAAAATGATCAAAGGTCTGGATGTCCAACAAAGGAAGGAGGAGAGTTGCTTTCTGCTGCTCCGAAGACTAAGACACAATGCAGCAAGGGATTCAAATGGCAGAAAAAGAGATTCCACCAAAACATTAGGAAGAACTTCCTGGTGGAATCCAGAGGAGTCTCCTACTCTGGAGATTGTGCCTGGAAGAAGGAGGTTGGATTAGATGGCCTTTGTAATGTCTTCTTGAAGTCCACAGAGGTCTACTGCAGCCCCTCTGGACACATTCCAGCTTGTCAATATCTCTTCAATTGTGGTGCCCAGAATTGGACACAATACCTGGAATATTGTGTCCAATTCTGGGCACCACAATTCAAGAGAGATATTGACAAGCTGGAATGTGTCCAGAGGAGGGCGACTAAAATGATCAAGGGTCTGGAGAACAAGCCCTATGAGGAGCGGCTTAAGGAGCTGGACATGTTTAGCCTGAAGAAGAGAAGGCTGAGAGGAGATATGATAGCCATGTATAAATATGTGAGAGGAAGCCACAGGGAGGAGGGAGCAAGCTTGTTTTCTGCTTCCCTGGAGACTAGGACGCAATGGAACAATGGCTCCAAACTACAAGAGAGGAGATTCCATCTGAACATGAGGAAGAACTTCCTGACTGTGAGAGCTGTTCAGCAGTGGAACTCTCTGCCCCAGAGTTTGGTAGAGGGTCCTTCTTTGGAAGCTTTAAACAGAGGCTGAATGGCCATCTGTCGGGGGTGCTTTGAATGCAATATTCCTGCTTCTTGACAGAATGGGGTTGGACTGGATGATGGCCCACCAAGTCTCTTCCCGCGCTATCATTCTATGAAACTAATCATATGATTGTATAATACATATGTGTTTTGCAGAAGTAAAGAAAGGGCCTCTTGCTCATCGGCCAAAACTAACCAAATGAAGTTCAACAGGACAAATACAAGATACTCCACTTGGGCAGAAAATAGGAAATGCAAAGAGACAGAATGGGGGATGACGAGGCGTGGCTCGAGAGTAGGACGTGCGGAAAAGTTCTTGGGAGTCCTCATGGGGAGGAAGGGGAACATGAGCCACGAATGTCACGTGGTGGCAAAAAAAGCCAATGGGATTTTGGTCTGCATCAAGAGGAGTCTAATGCCTAGATACAGGGGAGTGATGCTCCACCTTTATTCTGCCTTGGTCAGACCACATTATCTGGAATCACACTGTGTCCAATTCTGCATATCGCAACTGAAGAGAGATGTTGACAAGTTGGAATGTGTCCAGAGGAGGGTCAAGCCCTATGAGGAGTGGCTTCAAGATCTAGGCATCTTTAGCCTGCAGAAGAGAAGGCTGAGAGGAGACAGGATGAGGGCCAGGGATCAAGAGGTGAGCAGAAGTCATAAAGAAGAGGGAGCAAGCTTGTTTATTGCTGCTCTGAAAACTAGGACGCAGAAGAATGGCTTCGAATGACAGGAAAGGAGATTCCACCTGAACATGAGGAAGAACTTCCTAACTGAGGGAGAGAGCCATTCAGCAGTGGAACTCTCTACCCCAGGATATGGTGGTGACTTCTTCTTTGGAGCCTTTTAAGCAGAGGCTGGATGGTCATCTGTCAGGGGTGCTTTGAATGCAATTGTCCTGCTTCTAGGTAGAATGGGGCTGGACTGGACGGCCCACCAGGTCTCTTCCAATTCTATGATTCCTGGTGCCGACTCTAGAATGAGCATCCTCTCAGGGCCCCAGTCCTCAATTCAGATCTTGCAAATCCCAGGTGGCAATTACAGCTTCCTTGATGGAGCCTCTCTACCTGTGACAGAATCTTTCTCTTTGGCAACCACCTTCTAGCAAGCTGTGCATTACTGTCTTTTCCAATGACTCACATCATCTCATTATATGTTCAAAGAGTGACAGTCTCATCCCTGCAAATAAATAACAAGGGATGAAAGAGAGAAGACGGGGCTGGGAGGGAGGGAAGGAGGGAAGGAGGGAGGGACGAGGATCACTGAATCAAAGAACTAAATTTGGGAGATCATTCATGGCCATGCATTACCATCTATGGCTGAACAAAGGGAAAGAGACAGCCTTACATAAGACTAGTGAAGCCTGTGGCCCACAGATTACAGATGGATTTTGGACCCCATGTTTGGAACTATAATTCTTCCAAGTCCACCAAAAACCCTGCTTCCCCATTTTTTTATTAAATGACACAATTTTCATGTGATGTTTGTCCAAAAACCATGCAAAAATTATTTATTTATTATTTATTAGCCACATTTATATACCGCCTTTCTCAGCCTGAAGGCTACTCAGGGCGGTTCACAATCGGCAACAATTCAATGCCTCCACAACTATAAAATGCGAGTTTAAAAAAAGATTATAAATACAATTAAAACAGAAATGCTGGACCACTCTCACAACCACTGTGTCAGACTACACAGAGAAGCCATTGAAATACACAAGCATGTGGACAATTTTAACAGAAAGGAGGAAACCATGAAAATGAACAAAATCTGGCTACCAGTATTAAAAAAAACCTCTAAAATTGGAACAGCACAACAACAGAGAGGAAACAAACAAGGACACCTAATCACCTCTCAACAAAATATTGCTCCAGGCACTGCCAGGCCTTCAAATGCTAATCAAGGTGGTCAGTTGAAACATTCACACCTAGCTCCAGCAGACAAGAGTCCTTTGTCCCACCCTGGTCATTTCACAGATATATACATCCTTTTGCCTAGTTCCAACAGACCTCACTACCTCTGAGGATGCTTGCCAAACTGCAGGCGAAACGTCAGGAGAGAATGCCTCTAGACCATGGTCATACAGCCCAAAAAAACCTACAACAACCCAATTAAAACATTAACATATAATTTAAGAAAACAAAGCCATAAAAACATAACCTGCAGCTTCTCCTTACTAAAATCATGATCCAAGTGCATCGACAAATTGTTCCAAATTTCATCTTAATCTAATTATGTTGTAAATCCCCCCAAACTATGTGCAACTACCCCCAGAAGCCCCCCAACCACACCCTAAGTACCTCTTATTTTCAAAAGACAAAACGATGACCATAAGTGGCACAAAATCACACTTGGCCATCTGGCTACCATTCTTGGAAACACATGGTTGAAGATAGAAATATTTGGGGAAATGGGAGGGGGTTAGGGTATGTTAGAAAGATTACGTTGCTTCCCAGCCCTCCTGCTATTACTCTTACATTGCCCAAACACTCCCATGGATCTGACTATAAAATGAGAGGGTGGGAAGAGAGTTTCTCAGCATGACTCACCAAGGCGTCTATGAGGACTTCGGCTCCTTCCTCGCTTTCGTGGAGAGTGTCGATGTCGGTGAGCTCCTGCAGAAGGTCCACCACCGCGATGGAGACATGTGGAGCCAGTTAAGGGAAACAAAGACGGAGAATGGCACTGCGGGCCGGCAGTGCTATATGGGAGTTTGTGGGAGGAAACACAGGAGGCTCTGGGAAGGCTCAAGAAGGTACAAACCTAGCTTCATTGTTGGAGGGAATACATTTCAGATCAAAGGATGGACATACAAAGACAGCCACCTAACTTTGTAAAAAAACTTTGATATCTGTGTATCAGTTATCTTGAGGCCTCATGACGCTCCCTTCTCAAACAAAGAGCCATAGAGAACAATAAAACAACAACAACACTTGATTACGGTGCATGGACCCATGACTGTTAGGTAGATAACATACAGGAGTATGAGAACAACAAAGGCTTCTTTCAGGAAGAAGGGGAAAGTAGTGTCCACATGGAGGCAGCAAGCAAAAACACATTGAGTTACAAAGATCTAGAAACAGAGGTGAAAGCAAGACAAGAGGCCTGACTCCCAGGGTGTTGGAGTTCAGCCTGTGATTGTTTTTCAAGATCAGGGTGCTTTGGATGTGGAGAATGATGTAAATGAGGTCCAAGATGGCAATGGTTTGGTCAGTGATATTGATGCAGAGAATGACATAGAGACACCTGTTCCAAGTGTAGTTTCCCATGAGAATGTCCTCTACGTGGGGTTGCCTTTGAAGACTGACCGGAAGCTCCAACTAGTCCAACGAGTGGCAGCCAGATTACTAACAGGAACGGGGTACAGGGAGCATACTACTCCTCTGTTACATCAGCTCCACTGGCTGCCAATCAGTTTCCAGGCACAATTCAAAGTGCTGGTGTTGACCTATAAAGCCCTAAACGACTCTGGCCCAATTTACCTGTCCGAACGGATTCTCCCCTATGAACCATCAAGGTTATTAAGATCTTCTGGAGGGGCCCTGCTCTCGGTCCCACAACCCTCGCAATCACGTCTGGTGGGGACGAGAGACAGGGCCTTCTCGGTGGTGGCCTCTTGGCTCTGGAACTCTCTCCCACTGGAGATTAGAACTGCCCCTTCTCTCCCAACTTTTAGAAATCTGGTGAAAACTTGGCTCTGGAATCTAGCATTCGATGAGTGAGTCAATAACTCTTGACCACACAGACAGATGGTGATGAATTGTGATTTCATTTTGATGACTTGACCTTATGTAATTATATGATTGTATTTTAATGTATTTATGTATTAGTGCATTATGTGGTGTGATATTTTAAACTATGGTTTATGAACCTTTGTTGTGAACCGGCCTGAGTCCCTCTGTGGAGGTCGAGAAGACCAGCATATAAAAGTTCTAAATAAATAAATAAATACAGGGCATAGGAGTGATGGTTTACTCCCTGAATTGCTCCCAGAGAGTTCCCAGGATTTGGGGCTTGAAAACAACTCGGCACCTGAAGAAACTAATGAGCATATAGATAGGCGGGCGGAAATTAGTCAAAACAGACAGGCCGAGCAATGCCTTCGGTGTTCTGCCAGGCTTCAACAGAAAAAGATAAGGGGTGCTTAAGGAAAGCTAAACCAATTTCTGAGTGTTTGGAAAGGCTTAAAAGTTCCAAGCATGGAAAATACAGTCAGACGAAGCATCATTTAGAATCATGCTAAGTGCTTGTCCTCATTTTAGAGAAGCCCTGCTTTGAAAATTTATGCTTAAGGATTTCTTGTTTCTTGTTATCATCTGCTCATGCAAGTGTGTATTAGACTTGAATAAATATGGGTAATATGGTAACTTATTTCATTAAAAAGCTTTTTTTTAACACTAGGTTTTCAGGTGAGTCCTTTTGGCTTCTGCTCATAGGAAGATAGGGTGCAAGTCTACCCTCCGCTGAGAATAACCTGTCTTTTGTGCCCCTAATAGATGCACCAGTGATGGTAATGGGGCCAAGAGAAGGCTCTCTGCAGGAGGGTTCAATATGGTCCTTCATGCAACCTGGAGGTCAGCTGCATAGGGCTTTATAGGTCATCCCCTTAAATTGCACCAGTGGGGATGCAGTGGAAAGGAAGAGGCATGCTTCCTGCATTTTTTTCCAGGATGGACCAAAGCCAGGCAGGTAAGTAGAGCAGTCGTTCTCATCCCACGCTTTCCCCACTCGAAGGGAAATCAAGGATTCAAAGCCATGGCCCTGTTAAGTCTGGAACATCAGTATGCAAAGGGATCTTGCAGCACCTCAGAGACTCGCTCAGAGAATGAAGTCGGGAACACAGGCTTTCACAGAGCAAGCCTTCCTCCTCAGATGCATGACTCAGACTAAGAAAGCATATGCTCCCATCTTTGTTCCCTCAGCCTTGAAGAAACTTAGACGTAAATGCAACACACATCCATGTTTATCTTTTTAAACATCTTTTTTTTAAAAAAAAGAAAGGAACTTTTAAAGCAATCTGGCCCTAAGGATATACTGTAACAAAGAAAGCAACACATAATTTTAGAAATTCTTAGTAAAGGTAAAGGTTTCCCTTGACATTAAGTCTAGTCATGTCCAACTCTGGGGGTTGGTGCTCATCTACATTGAACAGCCAGCATTGTCTGTAGACGCCTCCAATATGGTTGGCATGACTGAATGGAGTGCCATTACCTTCCCACCGTAGCGGTCCCTATTGATCTACTCACATTTGCATGTTTTCGAACTGCTAGGTTGGCAGAACCTGGGGCTGACAATGGGAGCTCATCTTGCTTCCTGGATTTGAACCGCCGATCTTTTGGTCAGCAAGTTTAGCAGCTCAGCAGTTTAACCTGCTGCACCACCGGGAGACAAGACTTCCTTCTGCACAAAATTCATTCATGTGTGGTTGTTTTGCACCAAGTAAATGGTTACAGAAAATAGCATTTCCTATCATATGATACAATGTAATACACGTACATAATAATACAATGTTTCCTATAAAGACAGTGTTTTTTTTCAATGCAATTCAAAGACGTGCGCATTTGGCATCATATTCCAGACCACAGAATTGTTGGAGGCTACAGACAATGCCGTTGCTGTTGCCCATTTTTGGTCAAAACATATTTAGCCACTTGTGCCCCTGTTTTTATTAGTTTTATAATTATGTATGCAATGCTTTTGACACAAAATTAAAAAATACAGCTTCAGATATAGACCAGTTCCTATTGCACAGCCGTTGGCTGACTTGGGAATAATTGCAAAGGCACTGGGCAGAGGCTGACCCAAACCAGCTTGCAACAAACAGATTTAATCAACGGATGCCACAACGTTGTTACTAACGCGATAGAGCAAGTAGTCTCTTTGTGCCAATGCAGACTAAAGAATAGGGCTGGGAGGCTGCAGCTGCAACACAGAGGCGCACCCAATTTCCCTCATTATCTCCGCTCTTTCCTTCCCTTCCCTTCCCTTCCTCCGCAGCATCATTCCAGCAGACAACGCACTCGGACGCCTTGCTGCTCATTAGACCTACTTGACTATTCTCCAAGGCAAGCTGATCAATCGTGACCTCTTCTTACCACAGGACATACAAAAGGCAACCCACTTTCTTGCAGTGTCCTACATAGCAGCAGATCTGGGCTGGAAAAGTAGGCTCTTGCTCCTACAGCTCTGTTCCAACTGTCCTTCTGAAAAGTTGAGAATCACTTCAAAGGCTGGGAGATGGCTTTCCAGCTCAGGACTGATGCTCCTCTCCCTTCTTGCAACCACAATCGGCTCTTCTTTATCATGTGTGCCAGTTGGTGAAGTTGTCTGTCTTGTAGTCCAGGATTCAACTCCAGCCATGGAAACCCCAAGATGGCCTTGGGCATGTCCCATTCTCTCAGCTTCAGAGGGCTTCAAAGGTCTGGAAACCAGGAGTTCCTCTGAGGAGCAACTTAGGGAACTGTTTATCATGGAGAAGAGAAGGTCCTCCAAAAAACTGGATGTCCTGACAAATTTGTGAACATCCTGCGGCTCCTCCACATTGACATAATGGTTTTGGACAGCAATGGATCCCAAACTGACCTTTTAAAGATGGAATCAGATATCAAACAGGGATGACTTATTGCCCAAACGTTATTCTCCATCTTCATTACTATGATATTGCACATTGTTGATGGGAAGCTACCAACGGGCGTGGAAATCATTTATCGGACAGATGGCAAGCTCTTTAACCTGAGCAGGCTGAAAGCCAAAACCAAGTCTATTATAGAACTCCAATATGCTGATGATAACGTAGTGTGTGCTCATTCAGAAGGATCATAGAATCATAGAATCAAAGAGTTGGAAGAGACCTCATGGGCCATCCAGTCCAACCCCATTCTGCCAAGAAGCAGGAATATTGCATTCAAATCACCCCTGACAGATGGCCATCCAGCCTCTGTTTAAAAGCTTCCAAAGAAGGAGCCTCCACCACACTCCGGGGCAGAGAGTTCCACTGCTGAACGGCTCTCACAGTCAGGAAGTTCTTCCTCATGTTCAGATGGAATCTCCTCTCTTGTAGTTTGGAGACCTACAAGTCACTGTAAACACTTTTGCAGAAGCATACAAAAAGCTTGGCCTCTCAATGAACATTGAGAAAACCAAAGTGCTCTTCCAGCAGTCACCAGCCAACCCTTCTGCAATGCCAGAAATACAGCTTAATGGTGTAACATTAGAAAATATTGACCATTTCCACTACCTTGGCAGCCACCTCTCCACCAAAGTCAACATCGACACCAAAATACAACACCGCCTAAGCTCTGGGAATCCAGCATTCTCCCAAAGGCAGCAGAGAGTGTTTGAGGATTGGGACATTCATAGGGAAACCAAGATACTTATTTAGCTTTTGTCCTCCTAACCCAGTTATATGCCTGTGAAATGTGAACCGTCTTCAGACTCATGGAATGATTTCATCAGCATGGCCTCTGAAAAACCCTGCAAATTTCTTGGGAAGACAGACGGACAAATGTCAGCATTCTGGAAGAAAAGACCACGAGTACTGAAGCGACGATTCTTCACCATCAACTTCAATGAACAGGCCATGTTGTTCAAATGCCCAATCACTGTCTCCCAAAGCACTTGCTCTACTCCTAACTCAAGAATAGAAAA